TCTGTGGGTCTCAACCCCTTTGGGGGTTGAACGACCCTTTCACAGGGTTGCCTAAGACCATAGGAAAACACATATATAATTACATATTGTTTTTGTGATTAACCACTATGCTTTAATTATGTTCAATTTGTAACAATGAAATTGGGGGACACCACAACATGAGGAACTGTATTAAAGGGTGGCAGCATTAGGAAGGTTGAGAACCACTGGTTTAGGGAGTCCTTGCTTTGTCCCGGCTTGGAGCAAGGCAAGTGGGGACTCAAAAGGAAACCTCGGATTTGTAGCTCACTGGAGCTCCCTTCATTGTCCATTGCCTGCCCACCACTGCCCTGGGCACAGATGTTGCTAAATGCCTTGTCGGGCAATGGAGAGAACTAAGGATAAGAGAAGTGAAGTAACTTGCAGGCCGTGGAGTAGAAATGCATGTATCTCGAATTAATCACCACCACCCTCACCATCTTCACTAGTTATTTGAATGCCCACTAGGTACCAGGCATGACACTAAGCACTTTACATGCATTTTCTCATGTGATTTCCATGCAACCTTGCCAGCTAGGGGTCAGAGTGACCCCTGTTTTATGGGGTGCAAGTTCAAGGTGGAGACCTTCGCCAGTGCTCTCAGCTTACAAGTCGGAGCCTGGCTTGAACTTGGCGGCATTCTGGCTGCAGAGGCCACACTGTTAGCCCTGCTCCTCTCCTTCCAGGTGGCCCACACTGGGTGGGGGGCAAGGCAATGCAGGGTGGTTCCCCCCCAGAGTAACGAGTGGGACCTGCTGCAGGAATAGGGATAAGGGGGTTCAGGAGGCCTTGGTTGTGGATGAACCTTGCTTGGGAGGTAGGAAAGGGGTCCTGGGCATATGGTATCCAGGGAGCGGAGAGAGGACTGGGTGCAGGCAGGGAGCCTGGGGGAGAAGGCACGAGGGGCCAGAGGGCTGGGCTGGGAACAGAGCAACAGCGACAGTGGACCAGAGCCCCCTCCTTTCCCTTGGGGGGAGGGGCAGCAGCTTGGTACCTGGAGGCAGGCCCCCTGTGTGGATGGAGGGCCTTTGTTGGGTTGTTCGTGGCAGGCCTGCACCCAGGGCAGGACTGTGGAGTCAGCAGGGGCACCGGACAGGGAGCGGCGAGGCACTCCTTTCCGGCTTCCGCCCTCTGCCTTCCCCGTCCAGCTCCGGCCCAGCCCAGGTCACTGGAATACAAAGGAGCATGACCAGTTCTTATTTCCCTCAGCAGCCAAGCCACTTCCTTGAATAAAACCGAAGTGATTAGCTCTAGCAATCACAGGCCTGCACGGCTTTCTTTACAGCCCGGCCGAAGGATCCCAGAGGTCTCCTAGCACAGCCGCATCCTGTGGCCGGATTGCGAGGTGGACTTAGGTCTGTTTGCACAGCTCTGGTGGGGAAGGGCTCCTATATCCTGAATGCAATTCTGGTGGCCTGGGCTCCTCCGGGGAGGGGCCCCCCAAACCCAGCTAGCTCTGCATCCCCGTCAGTCTGGCTTTAAGATTTAATAGCTTGCAAGTAGCAAATAGGCCTCACATACACTTACTTATTTAGCAAATGTCTGGTGCGTGTTACTTTCAACAGGCATTTTCGTTAGTAAGAGTCAGTTCATCTTCACATGAGGGATGCGAGGTTAAGGGGCTTCCACCTTATCCATGTCCTGGGCCATCGGCCCCATCTCTTTGGCCCTGAACAGATAAGTAGAGGCCAAAATGTGAAGCCCTTGTATGCCATTGAGGTTTATTTAGTTCTATAGCCTGGGAGGCGCTATTGAAGGATTTTCAGATGAAAAAACACACACATCAGATCTGTGTTTTAGAACAAAAACATGCTTCTGAGAGCAGCTTGGAGATTAGATGGGGGCATTTAGACTCGAGGGAGGGCGATGAAGTGGTAGGTTACTACCATGGCTGGAGGGAGGCGGCAGGGCTGTGCTCATGCCGGGTGGGGGGCAAAGAGGGAGCTGCTGGTGGAGAACTGGAGGACCAAGGGGTGCTGGGCTGGGAGCCAAGATAGTTGCCTGTTTGGCCTTGGTGCTGGCATCACTCACCATAGCAGACTCTCTGGAGAGAGGTCTGCCAGTAGGAGCTGCCAGGAGCCACTGTGGCCAGAACTTGGGAAAGCCCTCGCCCCCGCCTGAGTCTCCCACGGGCCAACTGCTGTTGGGACTTCAATCTCTCTCTCTCTCTCTCTCTCTCTCTCTCTCTCTCTCTCTCTCTCTCTCTTAGGGCCCTCCGTATCTATTGCAGGGATTTTTCTCAGAATGCCATCATTTTCACTCACTTTCTAACTGGCAATGACAGCCTCTAACCACAGACAACTGGGGAACCTCCCACCGTCTGCACAGGGGAGGGGCCTCAGGACTGAGGGCTCAGTGGCTCCACGCTGGGACCTGGACCGCCTGTGGGTCCTCCTGGGAGGAGAAAAGTCTAGTCAGCACCACCTGCTTCGCCCACCCCACCCCACTTACCCGGAGAAAGCCCGGATGCTACACACTGGGGTCTACCATGGGGCGGGGGGGCTCGTTCTTCTCTTCGTAGGTGGTCTGTTGAGAAGGCCTGCATGTTGGTGCGGTTTTAGCGGGAAATAAAGGGCCAGGTGGAGTGGCCAGGCAGCGGGGAAGGGCTGGGGCGAGTGCGGGGCCATCCAAGGAGGATGGGGAATTCTGTCGCCTCGCCACCTCGGGGCTGGGTGAAGCGTGGGCTCAGGAGAGGCTGCAGGTGCCGTGGGGAGGAGTGAAGTGGCCGTGAGGCAGATGTGCCCTGACAGCTGACCACAGGGGCCCTTGAGCCACCCCTGAGGCCCTCCGGCCGAGACAGGGAAGGAGCCCTGCTGGACTGAGTAGGCCCAGCTCCTCCAGGGCAAACACCAAGTCACCACAAGAGAAGCAAAACCGAGAGCTGCAGCCTGACCAGCTCTGAGTGAGGCTGGGGCAGGGGTCCCAGCTCGTGTCCCCAGGAGCCCAGTGAATAGGAGCCAGGCCTTGCTCATTAGGTGTGCGGGCAGTGTGTGTGTGTGGGGGGGGCTCTCCGCCACGTCAGGATGGGCCAGGACCAGGAGCACTTGACTAAGGACCAACCCGTGTTAAGCTGAGGGACCTCTGGTGTAAGGCAGCGAGTGGAAGGATGCACAGAGGCTTACTGGGCCCAGAAGGCCCGAAAGGAGAACCTGCTCGACACCGAGCCCTCAGCGCCTGGAACATGGTTCTGTGGTTCGTGCACCGGGGCCAGGACCAGAGAGTGCATTTCGGGGTTTGCAACTTTGAACAAGAACCGGCTGCTGAGTTGGCAGGAGCCCTTGCCTTTCCAGTGTGGGAAATCCCATGAAGAAAATCCCTGTGTGCCCGGAGCCAATGGAACATCCCTTTCTCCCCTACTCCCTCCCTTCCTGGCCTTCGCTGGGATTTTATGCGGGCCTGCCCCACGGGGGGCGATGACGGGACCGCACAGCAGGAAGCTCAGGGGTCCCTCGCCCCTGTGCTCTCCACCCTTCCCTTGTCTCACAGAAGTGCCACTTCCTGGGGAGGAAAGTCCCGAGAAACTCCTCTGGGGTCTCCCTTTCCCAAGGAAACAAGCCCTTTGCAGGATCTGGGAGGACAGGATCTCGGGCATTAGGGACTGTTGCCCACGCATGGGCTGAGGGAAAGGGGTTTATCAAGGACAGTGTCCTGGGAGACTGCACCTACCCGCCAGCTCAGGCTAAATTCTCCAGAGACACCCCCAGGCCCCACCGATCCCCAATCCCAGTAGCTTCTAATGATGATGTTTTTTTCTCACTCAAGTTACACGTCCTTCAAAGCCGGAGAGGTGAGGGAGCCGCCCTTCCCTGCTCACCTGGATCCCTGAGGCCGCGGTGGGAGACGGGCAGGTGCAGGTGCCGGTAAAGCTCTGGTTTGCAGGCCACACGGCCTCTTCTTCCCTTTGTTCACTGGACAGAGCAGGGCCTTGGCCACTGTGAGTTCAAGCTGGGGAGACACACACCCTATGGGGAGGGACCACCACGTGGGCCCAGCCGGACACCAGTGGGCAGGACGTGCCACCCTTCCACCGAGGGAGAGAGGGCTGGAGGGACAGGCCACTGGGGTGCAG